ATCATCTTCCTTTCCAAATGCAAACAGATGGACATCGTACCAAAAGGACTGAAGGTAAAAAATCCATTACAATCTACATACCACACAGACTATGCTGACAGCTTGTGCCACACGCTCTCAAAGAAACTGCGGAATCACCTGATCAACATCCTCTACAGCAAAGAGGGAAAGATTAAGAATGAGCTCTCAGAACTGGATACTCTCATAAAAAACCAACCTTCCACACAAACTTCCTCGTGGCTAGAATTTACTAAAACTAGACAAGCCATTTACAACGCACACTTTGCAAAATACCTCTGAACAACATACTAATCCACAGAGGCCTCCCTACCAACATTACAAAAAGAAGGATTCTAGGTGGACTCCTCCTGAAAGTCGAAACAGCAGACTGGACTTCTACATAGAATGCTTCCGCCGACGTGCACGGGCTGAAATTGTGGAAAAGCAGCATCACTTGCCCCATAACCTCAGCCGTGCAGAACACAATGCCATCCACAGCCTCAGAAACAACTCTGACATCATAATCAAAAAGGCTGACAAAGGAGGTGCTGTTGTCATCATGAACAGGTCGGAATATGAAAAAGAGGCTGCTCCGCAGCTCTCCAACACCACTTTCTACAAGCCATTACCCTATGATCCCACTGAGAGTTACCAAAAGCAACTACAGCATTTGCTCAAGAAACTTCCTGAAAAAGCACAAGATCAAATCCGCACAGACACACCCCTGGAACCCCGACCTGGGATATTCTATCTACTACCTAAGATCCATAAACCTGGAAATCCTGGGCGCCCCATCATCTCAGGCATTGACACCCTGACAGCAGGATTGTCTGGCTATGTAGACTCCCTCTTCAGGCTCTACGCTACCAGCACTCCCAGCTACCTTCGAGACACCACTGACTTCCTGAGGGAACTGCAATCCATCGGTGATCTTCCTGATAATACCATCCTGGCCACTATGGATGTAGAAGCCCTCTACACCAACATTCCACACAAAGATGGACTACAAGCCATCAAGAATGCTATCCCCGATAATGTCACAGCTAACCTGGTGGCTGAACTTTGTGACTTTGTCCTTACCTATAACTATTTTACATTTGGGGATAATGTATACCTTCAGATCAGCGGCACTGCTATGGGTACCCACATGGCCCCACAGTATGCCAACATTTTTATGGCTGATTTAGAACAACGCTTCCTCAGCTCTCGTCCCCTAATGCCCCTACTCTACTTGCGCTATATTGATGACATCTTCATCATCTGGACCCATGGAAAAGAAGCACTTGAGGAATTCCACCATGATTGCAACAATTTCCATCCCACCATCAACCTCAGCCTGGTCCAGTTCACACAAGAGATCCACTTCCTGGACACTACAGTGCTAATAAACAATGGTCACATAAACACCACCCTATACCGGAAACCTGCTGACCGCTATTCCTACCTACATACCTCCAGCTTTCACCCTGACCACACCTCACGATCCATTGTCTACAGCCAAGCTCTGCGATACAACCGCATTTGCTCCAACCCCTCAGACAGAGACAAACACCTATAAGATCTCTATCAAGCATTCTTACAACTACAGTACCCACCTGCAGAAGTGAAGAAACAGATTGACAGAGCCAGAAGAGTTCCCAGAAGTCACCTACTACAGGACAGGCCTAACAAAGAAAATAACAGAACACCACTAGCCGTCACCTTCAGCCCCCAACTAAAACCCCTCCAACGCATTATTAAGGATCTACAACCTATCCTGAAGGATGACCCAACACTCTCACAAATCTTGGGAGACAGGCCAGTCCTTGCCTACAGGCAGCCCCCCAACCTGAAGCAAATGCTCACCAACAACCACATACCACACAACAGAACCACTAACCCAGGAACCTATCCTTGCAACAAAGCCCGTTGCCAACTGTGACCAAATATCTATTCAGGGGACACCATCACAGGGCCTAATAACATCAGCCACACTGTCAGAGGCTTGTTCACCTGCACATCCACCAATGTGATATATGCCATTATGTGCCAGCAATGCCCCTCTGCCATGTACATTGGTCAAACTGGACAGTCTCTACGTAAAAGAATAAATGGACACAAATCAGATGTCAAGAATTATAACATTCATAAACCAGTTGGAGAACACTTCAATCTCTCTGGTCACGCAATTACAGACATGAAGGTCGCTATCTTAAAACAAAAAAAACTTCAAATCCAGACTCCAGCGAGAAACTGCTGAATTGGAATTCATTTGCAAATTGGATACTATTAATTTAGGCTTAAATAGAGACTGGGAGTGGCTAAGTCATTATGCAAGGTAGCCTATTTCCCCTTGTTTTTCCTCCTCCCCCCCCCCCCCCCCCCAGACGTTCTGGTTAAATTTGGATTTATGCTGGAAATGGCCCACCTTGATTATCATACACATTGTAAGGAGAGTGGTCAGTTTGGATGAGCTATTATCAGCAGGAGAGTGAGTTTGGGGGTGTGTGTGTGAGAAAACCTGGATTTCTGCTGGAAATGGCCCACCTTGATTATCATGCACATTGTAGGGAGAGTGGTCACTTTGGATGAACTATTACCAGCAGGAGAGTGAGTTTGTGTGTGTATGGGGGTGAGGGGTGAGAAAACCTGGATTTGTGCTGGAAATGGCCCACCTTGATTATCATGCACATTGTAGGGAGAGTGGTCACTTTGGATAAGCTATTACCAGCAGGAGAGTGAGTTTGTTTGTTTGTGTGTGTGTGTTTTCGGGGGGGGGGGGCGGGGGTGAGAAAACCTGGATTTGTGCTGGAAATGGCCCACCTTGATTTTCATACACATTGTAAGGAGAGTGGTCACTTTAGATAAGCTATTACCAGCAGGAGAGTGGGGTGGGAGGAGGTATTGTTTCATGGTCTCTGTGTATATAATGTCTTCTGCAGTTTCCACAGTATGCATCCGATGAAGTGAGCTGTAGCTCACGAAAGTTTATGCTCAAACAAATTGGTTAGTCTCTAAGGTGCCACAAGTACTCCTTTTCTTTTTGCGAATACAGACTAACACGGCTGTTACTCTAAAAACATTGACAAGGTAGCACAGTCTCAGACATCTGACTAGGTGCAAGGCTTCTTTTGCTTTGCCTCACCCTACCAGGATGAATGGAATAGGCTCTCTCATCAAGTCAACCAGGACCCAAAAATCAAAGCATGTAAAGGTAAAGGGGTTTTCACCCCCAACTGGGCACAGAGCTGACCCCAGTCTCATAAGATAGTCCTCATCCACATTTCACCAATTGCTAAGCTCACAGCAGCAAAAGGAGAAGCAGACTCCTCCTTAACTACAACATCCCTTCACAAGCAGGCACTGAATAGTAAAAAGTAGTTCTTCCCTCTCCCTTCCAGCAAGGCTAAGATCATTGTCTCTATCTTGTTCAGCCTTAGTCCGCAAGGGAAGAGAATCCCAAAGTCACATCCAAATGCAAAACCACAAGAAATAGGCTGACTCATCAAAAACTCAGCTTAGGTTGTGCTGTGAGGGGCAGCCCTTGACCTTATCAACTTGTTGCTAACATTTCCCCCAAGGATCTCCTAAAAGGAGGAGAGAACTGACATTTTGAAAGAGCACAATAATCCTTGACCTAGTGAAGTTACAGCAAAGTGCCTGTGAAGATCAATCAGGTTACACAGTAAGGTCTCATAATACAAAAGATGAACGATTTTCTTACAGGAAAGTTCAGGTTCTGAGCTCCGCCTCCCACCTCCTAAAAGGAGAGAGAGAAGGTACCTTCTTAGGAATGGTTTATAGAAGCCCAAACCAAAGCCACACTCACAAAAATAGTCCTCAAGCTATACAGCCAGCATAATAGGCATCTAGCCTATTCAGAATATAGTCAAATAGACTCAAAAATTGCTATCAACTACACTTGTGCAAACCCACTGAAGTTAATGCAGTTTCATGGCTTACAGAGTGGAATTCAGCCAAAAGCATTTAGAGTAATTTGAAATGACTTGTGCTGTACTCTGTGTATTAGTTTTGACATTTTGTATCAGCAAGATACTGATTATTGCATGAACTGGATGGGTATACATCATCGTATTCTAGCCTGTAATTCTCTAACCACAAGTGAATTACCAAAGGTCTCCTTACTCCTGGAAAGAAATGTCATATCAGACCAAAAACCTTCAGGTGTCTACATCCTTTTCTAACGTGTTCTGAAAGAGACTTTTCCTTTTATGTAGCAACTCCTGACAGTCTCTTAGCTTTGTATGTGTGTTGTAGTGTTGGTGTTTATGTAACGTCACATGCACACTCTACTGTAACGTTTGCAGACTCTTTTTGGCTGTGTGTGTGTTGCATTGTTGGTGTTTGTGTGGCAGAAATGTCACATGCACATTCTGTTGGTATGTGGCAGCTATCTTTGAAGTCATTGAACTTCACCTTATTGTTATAAATTAGCAATAGACATAGGCACATATGTGTAAGTCAATATCACCAAGTTTCAAATCATCTGAAATAATTAATTCTATCAGTTTAGTATATTTTTTATTCCATAACTAGTAAGATATTTTTAAAGTATTGTGCAGGTGTGTTTAAACAGAAAGGATGTTACTTGCAAAAACTATCTTTGCCTAAATTGGATATACATGGTTTACACAATGTAAAGCAAATTATGCAAGAAGCTAGAGACAGAGAAGTGTTGTCTAGTGGTCCAAGCACAAAACTAATACCAGGAAATTCCTGAGGCCTCATCCCTACTCTGACAATGAAGTCTGGTCTTGGCTATCATTTAAGCTCCCTGCATCTCTGAAGTGGGGATACCTCACAGCATTGCTGTGAGGATTAATTAATTAATGCCCATAAATTGCCTTGAAAATAGCAAGCATTAAGTATTTTACAACTCCAGATTACTTTCTGTAACCTTGATGGAAAACAATTCCAGGGTTCTGCGCAGCAGTAGTAGAAGGCTGCGGGGGCATCTAGTCAAGAAATCTTAATATTAACAAAGCTATGCAGAGAAATACCTGTTTTGGTTAATGGACTAGAGAACAGCTGCTGAAGAAGTTTGTTCTCTGAAGTTCTCAGCACCACCACTGTATCAGCAGGAAGAGTGTCTCTGTTCTTCTCAAGGAAACCATAGGCATCATATAATACCTAGGTGTTGGAGACAGAATGAACAAACAGCTGAAATAGACTACCAGAACCCTGCCATTTACTTTAAACAGGCAAGTTGACCAAATAAGCTAGTTCAAACCTGACAAGCTGGTGAATTACTGCAGTGTCCTCAAAGTGTGAGCTGGCTTTAGGCAGCATCTGCCTTCATAACGTGTCATTGGTATATCAAATTGGTTTAAGTGGCTTAGGCTGAGTCACACTGTATTACACTGTATCACATCAAACTACGACGTGCCCAATGCAACATAACACACTGCAGCACCACACTAGTCACATAACTTGACAGGTTACATGTGAAACAGGCAATGGTTTTCAGACAGAGCAGCCACTCTGCATTTACTGCATGTAGCCAGTGTGTGATTTGTAATTAAATCTTCTGGAGAAACAGGAGAAAATTTCATATCTAGCACACTGGCAAAATGGATACAAAATGTACTACCACTGTTACCAAATGGATATTTATTCATCTGGGATCCTCTCTTTAATTTGCACTGGCTTAGGGCACAGTATTTTTAACATTTTAATTCTGAAGGCTTTGAAAGGCAAAATTGCTCTGAATTGTTTTTCTCATAGTTATTAGTAATCAATGATCAAATCTTTGTATCAAAATTGGAATAGAGTTATTCTGCTTTAGATTTTATTTTTTAAAACTACAGTAATTTCCAGCATCCAGCTTTACTATAAATGGCCTTACTGCTGGAAAAACACAGGCACAGCACATGGGGCTGGTCTACACTACCGCAGGGACCGATGCTCTGAGATCGATCCACCGGCGGTCGATTTAGTGGGTCTATTAAAGACCCGCCAAATTGACTGCAGATCGCTCTCCAGTAGTTGGAGTTGTGTAGCGTAGTTTGACTTACCACGGTAGTGTAGACATATGGTCTTGATGTTACACTAGAGCTGAATTTGGCCCTACTGTGGAGAATGACAGAAAGTCAGCACTGCCTCTAGGACTTTACATTTAGGTGGCAATGAATTTACTGGAGCTTTGTGGAACTTTACAGTTTTCCTTAACAATCCCAAAAGTTGGGCGAGGTTTACTGGAAGATTTGTAGAGGTTCTTGACCCTTGCATTGAGCCTAAGCTAGGTCTGCATGGAAACCATGCAAACCTAGGCTGCTTTGGTTGAGTTTTGTGTACAATTGGGAATTTAGACCTTAAATTCCAAACAAAACTCAGTGGACATGAAACCAACTAAAACCAAAACGGCTGAGTTCTGCAGAGTACTAGAATATACCTACAGTATGTAGGTGGGAATTCTTCCAGTCACTCCTCTGCCCTCTACAGGAGTTTAAAAAGAAAGCACTATTGCAGAGACAGTTTTAAACTGTTTTATTCATTGAACCTCCTTTCCTTTCCTGCTCTCTCTCTTCCACACAAACAATTACTACTGAGTATATGTGTTAATGGCTAGAGATATTATAACTGTGCAGGTTGTTCTGGGTCAAGGAGGGCCACCACTTCTAAGAAATGTCTCAGCTGGGGTGACCAGATGTCCCAAATTTATAGAGACAGTCCCAATATTAGGGCCTTTGTCTTATATAAGTGCCTGTTATCCCCATCCCTATTTTTCACAATTGCTAACTGGTAACCCTAGTCTCAGCTGGGGTGGCATTTCATGCGTCAGGATGCCACCTCCAGAATTGGGTAAGGAGCATTTATAACATGGGCAATTTTGCATTGTAAATCATATCACAAATTCTAGGTTTCTTTAAAAACAATTAATCCATTAAAAAGAGAGAAATCTGCAAGCAATTTAAATGCCTCTGGATGGAATGGATAGTGACTATACCACTTATTACATTCAGACCATATGACCTTTACCTTCCCAGCATAGTGCTGAATGCCAAAACACAGCTCCACTCGTTTGGGCCTCCAAAAGTATTTGCATCTTAAATTATCTTCAAACTTATCTAGTCATTAAAAAAAGGTAACGGTTAAAGGTGAACCACAGCAATTTAAACCACAACTCCCATAATTAGGGACAGCTTACAACCCAAAAAAATCAGAATTAGTACAAAATACTCTTATAAGTTATCACATTGTCCACCAATGATGTCAGCCTTTGTCAGCTTTTGCTACAAGCACCTGTGTTCTTTCTTCCAAGTTGCCACTTATAAATGAACAGCTTCCCCAAATTAGTCCTTCAAATCCCTCACGATTCACTTCTAATGGGATGCCTATCAGAAACTAACAAATGACAATGGCTTGGTAGGTAGAAGGCTAGAAGAAACTTCTCATATATATCCTATTTATTTATTCATTCGTTTATATCTTATCTTTTTAATAAATAACCAACTCAAAGCCCTCTAGCTATGTACATATCTGCCCTATGTGAATGCCCTTGTTCCTTCCCATAGTTGGTTATATCCACAAGAAAGAAAGGGCACAACACTCCAGCCAACAACTAGGTCCCCTCCAAGATTACACCTGTCACTTCTGTGGGAAAATCTGCAGGGCACGAACTGGGCTCCTCAGCCACCTAAAAACCCGCCAATGAACCCCCTTGGTGGACAACATCCTCGCATCAAGGGATAGCCAAAGAAGATGTCCACCTGCACTTTGATTTAAATACATGCTAAAGCCTTTAGGCATCTTTTATCCTGCATTTGAACTTCTTCAGAAAAACAGGCTTATGTCCAAAGGGGCCTTCTGGGATATGTCTACACAGCAATTAAACACCTGCAGCTGGCCTGGGTCAGCTGTTCGGGCTTGGGCTACAGGGATGTAAAACTGCAGTGCAAAACACTGGGGCTTGGGCTGGAGCCTAGGCTCTGGGACCCATCCCACTCATGGGCTCCCAGACCTTGGGCTCCAGCCTGAGCCTGAACGTCTACAGTGCAATTTTACAGCTGCGCAGCCCAAGCCCTGGTTATTGAGAAATACAGACACACTATGAGGTACATGCCCACAATACACTGAGCTAAGGGAAAGAGAGACAGCTTATAGAGCTGAGTGAGAACAAGGCCTTTTCTGCCCTTTGAGATAATCCTGTGATATTTTGTACTGAAACTAGTGCCTGTATAGTGAAACTTCCCATTGCATTTGTTTATCTTAGTCAGCAGTTATGGGCTTGATACAGGAATCACATGGAGAAATTCTCTGGCCTAAGTTATGCCGGAGATCAGACTAGATGATCAGAATGGTCCTGTCTGGCTTAAAATCTGTGAATCTTAAATTTCATGATTTTTTCCTATTTATGTTTCACTGCCACTAAAATATTCTTTCGTTTAAGACACAGAATTAGGCTTTGAGCTTTGTTTGGAGTGAGTTGCTGGCTAGCACACCTGCATACGGTCAAAGATCTCAACTTGCTACACACATCTTGAGATCTTCCAGGACGCCCTGATCTCAAGGCAGCAGTAATAGAATTGAACAGCTCTGAGGCAGGAAGTCTGCCTATGGGGAACTGTAAACTCAGTATTCAATATTGGCCTATTTATAGGACCCACAAGCAGGCTTCCGGCTCCAGCACATGAATGGGGACTGGAATGAAACTCTCTCATTCATTGCACCTTTGACCTAAAATCAAGTATGAACCCAGTTCTCTGGAAGTGAAAAACGTGTGTATGCACTATGCTATCTAACCTGCAGCTATTATTTTAAGGCAAAATTCGGCTCTCTAAATTGCTGTGAATATCTCTACTGTGCGTTCTGCACTCATTCCATTGACAGCAATCGGAGCTCTGTGTTGCTGATCAGAGAGGAGAATTCCACCCTAAGTAAATAAAAATAGGATCATATTTTAATATTGGCTGCACACATTTTAAAGTTGGCAACAAGATTTATTAAAATGTTCATGAAATAATCATCAAGTTAAGGAACTATCTAAGCAGATGGCACAGCAAAGTCACACACACACTTTCTCCTTATGATGAGGTAATCAGTAATAAAAGAGTGGTGTGTAATGGGGTAATAATGTTAAAAGCCAGGAAGATCTGAATTCTACCCTTGTCACTACTACTAACTCAATGTATGGTCTCGGGCATGTCTCTCTTCCTTTCTGTGCTTCAGTTTCCCATCTTTTTAAATGAGAATAAGAATCCTTAAAGTACCTAACACACAGCAGCATTGTAACGATTATTTAATATTTGCAAATCCTGTAGATGATAATAAGCCCTATTTAGATAGGTATTAATATTTAAACCATAAAATAACATTAACCATATAAAAACAATTAGGAACTAGCAAAATAGTTGAAGAAGTGAGCACCTGAGCAAAAAGAGAGAAAATAAATACTTAAGTAAATAAAAATCCATTTATTCATGTCTGAATATTGGTGACAACATAGCAGAATTTTCAGAAGCCTTCACAATCCATTGCTAATGCCACAGACTCAGTGGTTATGTAGACTAGCAAAAATACTATAAGATGGCATGACTCTCACTCAATGTGTATCAATCATTCTTCAGGGTTTTTTTAATTATTATTCTTACCAACTAACGTCAGGTCTGTCGCCTGGGGAAATCGACTTTCTTCGTCAAGTAGAGAAAGTACTCCCATTGGTTTCTGGAGGAACATATCTAGAAGTGGACGATTGTCCTCATACTCCACTGTAGTAGCATCAATGCCCTCATTCTGATATTCCATCTACAAAGTCATAAACACAGTTAATACTGAATTGACCATGGGAACATTACCATCAGGACATTTCTGGCACAAAACTTCTTTCTTGTTTATAGCACCGCATAACGTTTAATTTCCTACAAAGCTCACAACAATTGTGTGGCAGCTAGGTCACAATATCATGTGGGAAATGGGTCTGAGTGAGGTCTAGTCTCTAAACTTCCATTTTCTTGTTCTGTAAACTCTTAATTTTTCTTTAGCTTAAGTAAGATTTGTATTAACTGAAAGTGACAGCGCTTTTTCTTAGAGATAACCATATGATCAAGCCATAGAATTGTCAGTGGCCTAATTCTATGCCAGTAAAAAGCCCAGAATATTTTAAGATTTGCTAAGGGAATGGAAATATGAATGGGTGGAAGTAGGAGTGAAGTAAGAAATAATATTAACTTAATTAAGTCTTCAATCACTCTAGACCACATTTCTTTCTTTGGTTTGGTGACTTAGGTTGTTATAGAACTGCTAGTAAGAGATGGGACTTTCCAGACTGACCAAAGGTCAAACTCACCTACCCTCAACCTGGATTGGAGGTCTATGATCCCTGGATTAGCTTGGAAGATTTCCCAGGATGTGGCATGGGGTGGAGTGAACTAGAATCACAACCTTAAAGATCTAAGTAATCACAGGTGATTCTCCCAGGCCACCACAACACCAAGAAGGGCTGCTGCACTCTCCCAACCCCCTTTCCCATAAAAAAGAAGAGACAGACCAAGACCACTTCAGGCTATGCCAGCTGACTAGCCAAATGCCCAGAGGCAGCCTGCCGGCCAGCATAAAACACCAACTAGAGATGATGTCACCTGATCCCCTGAATTACAATTTTTACTTTGAAAATCTGAAACCCAGCAAGCAGAAGCACCGTTAAAACATTTTTCTTTTTAAAAACCTTTTATTATTTTTCCTATTTTGTGGATTGGTAGAGGCACCTACTTCCCGTATTCATTATTTTTTGTGTTAATACCTTTTAGATGTGAAAGAGAGAGAGAGAGAAAATATTAAACACATAGCACATGTGTATCCAATTTCTAAGTAAATCATATCTTAAATCATTTTGTGTTACCCTTTTGTTCTGCACTAACAAGGGAAATTATAGGTTGTTAATCATTCTGTATCACAGTAGAGCTAAATTAATCAGGGAAAAAGTCAACCACTCAGTCAATGGAAATGTTGAAGGAATCTAGCTGCTTCAGAGATCTGAAAAGTAAATTACATCCCCTTAGCTTTCCAGGCTTAAATATGTATAAGACTTGATCATGCACTATGCTAACTTCATGATTTAAATCCTGATTGTGTTTATCCAGTGATTTGGTCAATTGCTGATTTCATTCCATATTATTGTCAATATGTTGATTTATTAACTCAATTATAATTTTGATTTGATAACTGTTCTCTTTAATTCTTAGTTTAGTAAAAGTCTAATAGCTATTTTTAGGAAAAAGTTTCTTTAGGTTTGTCTTTTTATTAATTTGTAATACAATCCATAAAAATTACATAAAGCTAGTTTTTCTTTCAAAAATGCAACAAGGGTCACAACACACTTCCCAATGGCAAAAAGTCTTTTAGTAAAGTTTTTAAGAGCTACGTAGCTCTGTCCCTAAATTAGTACCTGTATCCCTCACAGTAGGGTATATTGTTCAGCCACAGTCTTGTATTAGAAATAAATTATTATAAAGAGAGAGATTCAGGAGTACTATATTGGACAGACAGATAGATAGATAGACAGAACTCCTGAATCTAGCTTACAATCACAGCAGCCCAATTTACCTGTTCAAGTGCAAAGATGTGCTGATTGAAATAAAACTGGATTTGTTCATTCGCAATGTTTATGCACAGCTGTTCAAAGGAATTTCTTGTGAAGTTCTCAAATCCAAAGATATCCAGTATCCCAACATGCATCCGGCTTTCAGCATTGCTATGTAGAAAAGACACACAAAATCCAACATGGGGCAAAACCCAGGATAAATCAAAAGAAACAGGATATTCAAGATCAGATACTATCATTAATTCAATCCACCACAAAAGGAAGAGAGACAGCCTGTATAAATCAAACACAGCTTGTGCATTTGTTTATAGTCATTACTACACTCCTTTTTAGGGTGACCAGATAGCAAGTATGAAAAATCAGAACAGGGCGTGGAGGGTAATAGGCAACTATATTAGACAAAGACCTGAATATCAGGACAGTCGCTATAAAATCAGGACATCTGGTCACCCAACTCCTTTTCAACTCTGAGATTCTTGCATTACACAAGTTCTGCTAAGGTTTTGGGAGGAGGAAGAGAGAAATCATTGGGAAGTACTGATTCCAAGCAGCACCTCTTCAGAGGTATTAAGGGAATGGTTTCAGCAAGCAGATCTCAACAGAAAACTATTTGACAGCCTCCTCAGGTAGAAGAGGGCTGTGTAGACTCTTCGGTGGGCAACCTAGATAGCCATGCTAAAGTAGATTGAGAAAGAAAGAGGAGCTCTCATGCACTGGCTATGGAAGAGGAGGAGTTTTCCCTCTGCTGTTGACAGAAGAGGGGGAGCTGTGCTCCCGCCATTTCCCATTACTTTGACCCTGCCTAAGACAGACAGACAGGCAGTCTCAGACTGAAGTCTGCATCCTTTACAGTGTTGACCTCATGTACCGCACAGTTATGAGGAGACAAAGGAAAGAGAAATATAAGACACCTTTCCACTTTCCCAATTCTGGCACTACAGGGAATGAAACAGCCCCTAGCATAACTCAAAGCTGCCTAAGGGCTGCTCTAATTTACACCACCAGCAGCTGTCCCATGAGGACACATTGCTGCAACCCTGCCCCCGATATATCCTCTCCATGCCTTCCCCCACTTCCAACATATCCTCTCCATGGAGAATGTGGGGGGAGCCAACAAAATCAAAGCACCTATGCCAGCTTTACACCACCTGAGGGATTCACTTATGCTTGGGAATACCCAGTTGCTCCTTGAGAAGTGCAAAGCAGCTAGAACGGGGTCTGAGTATGTGTCTTTGTTCCAGGAAAGGAATAAGATGTTACAGTGTAAACATTTCCATAATGCAAATTGGCATTTAAGTTTTCATAATTAAATGTTTTGACAGCTGGTTTTAACAGCTTGCATTAGAATGTCAAAAATATATTCATGAAGTAGCTGTTCTGTAATCATTTATATTTATATTTTATCACTAGTTTAATACTACTTGAGAATTGTAAGGACCACATAGAACAATACTTGTGTTTAATGTATCCAGTCTACTGTAATTGGTTATCTATGGGCATCTGGTATGATTTTCATGCTTACCAGATACACAGGCTCTTTTCAAAGACTTGCCTGAGATTTTAACCACACAATTCCCATTGATTTCAGTAGCCAAATCCCAGTGAGCTCTTTGAAAAGGATGGAGTTAATGTCCTGGAAACAGAATTCAGGATCACAGCATGAAGGCCATTTTGAGGTCTTTTTCAAATAAACACAATATTCCTCCAGCAAAATCAAAACTACAAAAGGGGATGATCCCATCACACACGTCAGCAATATGTAACTTGCCATATATTTTTATCTGGCTGCAGCAGTGTATTAATGCGATTTACAATCCAGCTGAAGAGTCGGCCATAAAGTGCTTTAGACATGGCATCTCGCACATCAGAGGCTTTGTCCACAGTGTTTGTTCGGATAATAGTCTCTCCTCGTGTTACAACACAGTGAGAGGTTAGAGCTTCTTGGAGCTCTTCTGAACCAATACTGAGCAGTGCAGCAGCTGGAAGATAACAGACAGGAAAGATGGCTGTGACTGGAGAACAAAAATTGCCAGCACTACCGACCTGATACCTATCAGTTAGAGATTCTTACAAATGCAATCAAGCTGCATTTATAGAACTGACAATATTAAAAACATATTTACCATTATCTAAGGCCTCTGCATTGGGAACTTCACTTTTATCAGTTTGGTGTTGTGAGGAAATGGCAGCAAACTCAATGTTTCCTGTATTCAAGATTCCAGCCAGAATTTTGTAAACTGAATGCACTTCCTGCAAAATGAGACAAGAACTACCTTAACAAGACACAATTAGTTAGTTGTAGCCCCCAAATGTGGTCTGTTTAAAAATAAGATAGGGAGTGTGTGTGTAAAGCCCATTGGGTCATTCTGAGGTTTTTACTTGCCCAGTTCAGTTTTTACTCTCTCTTTATTCAGGCAAACTCCCTCTGAAGTGGAAAAGTGAGATAGAAATGGAAATGTGAAGGGGATAGAATGGAGCTTGCCTCAGTAAAACTGAAGCCTCAGTCTGTCCTCCAGTTCTGTGGGTGCAGTTTTGTACACACTATTACAAAGGTGAGATTCTGTGGAATAATGATATATTTAGACAACAAATGCCACTATTTGCACAGGAAGCGTTGGAGGTGGTTTTTAAAAATAAGGTCAATAATGCTTTGGTAGCTATTTCATGATTAATCTCTTACCTCATCAGTGAATCCTATGATCCTAAAGCAATGTTGAATTGCTTCAAATTGTCTTCCATATGAGTCTTTAGTAATAATATCTTGCATTACTCTTCCAGTTTCGTTATCAATATACCTAAATAAAGTGGCATAATTAAAATGCTGTGTTAACAGATGTTAACAGATGTTCAATAGCATTGCATCAGTAATGCAGCAGACCACTTATTGCAATGTTTTTTAACCAAATAAATATTGTTATGCTAATCAAAAAGTTTTGGATTATTTTCTTTCTATTAGTTTTTGTTCCTTCAGCACAAATTAAAATGTTTTCCCAACATTATAGTTTTCCAATAAAGAGACGGATAGCAAATGAAATTAGTAACTCAAAGTTAACGAACACGATTCAGCCCTGAAATAAGACAGTGCAATTCCATTTACTTTAATGGAACTACTAATGCATTCAAGTAGAATTTTCCCTAATACGCAAAGAGTAACATAAATTTAAACCAATATATTTTGAGTTGCTCCTTCAGTATTACCAGAAAGCTCTACATTCACAGCCATTCATTTCTAGGGATAGAGAAGACCTGAAAGAAGGAATGAAAATCTAGATAATGATGAGATGGCTTTTTTCCCTCTTATTATAAATGCTGCGAGTCCTCAAACAAAATAATAATGTAATTCCTTATTGTCCATCCACTTCTGTACTTGGGAGGATTAAGAAAGATCCATAAGGGATAGAAAAAGATTGAGAGAGATTTTAAAGCACCACACTGAAAGCAAGCCCCGATCAATAGCCAATTACAGCCGCATTAAAAACAAATTAGTGATAGTTACCGAGGAGGCTTTTTTTCAGGAAGTCTATACTCAGAAAGTTTCTTCTGATGAAAAAGACCAGCATAAATATAGTAAAATATATGGAAGTTTTTTTCTCCTCTGGAAAAAAAAAGTATTATTTTAAAGCTTACAGGTATATCTGCATCTACATGTTTGCACTATGCTGTACACTGTCAAGTTAATGGAAGAGGGATTGATCCTATGCTCATTGAAGTCAATGGCAAAGCTCCCAGAAGCAGCAAAAGCCCAATGAAAAGCTCTTCCATCTTATCTGTTAAACACACAAAACCCAGCCCAACTAGATGGTGGCAATGAGTCCAAGATCAGGCTCCACTCCTTCCCTTTATAAGTTGTTGGAGGTTGAGCACAAAGGTACAATGATATGTTTATAGGAAATAGGCTCTGGGAGAAACATTATACTATACAGAGCATCCTTTACCAAACAATGGAGTGGTATTGGTCTCCAGCCCAGAAGAATGAAACTAACTGTACTTCCAGCCAGGGAGTTTGAACAAAATTTCATTGAAAAGTGTTTTTTGAAAAGTAAAAACTGTTCTGGAAAAGTAAACACAAACCCCAAAAAAGGTAGACTAGATTTGAAAGGACATAGTATTATTAACCTACACAGCCTGCTTTATGACTCTGGATTTTTCAAGTAGATATTCAGAAATTTTTGCCCCCATTACAGCTCCTGTTGGTGTAAACAGCATTTCCAGGTATTTTCCAAAACGACTTGAGTTGTCATTGATTGCAGTGCAGGCGTTCCCAAACGCTTCAACCAGAGGGTTCACTTGAAGAATCTTCTCACGCAAAGCGCGGTTATTGGCCTTGACAGAATAGACACAGGTCAGAAGGAATGCCCCAAAAGAATGCTTACTCCAGGCTTCTTCCCAGCCTCAGAAACATAGTGTGCATTATCAGGTGTCCAGCATCTTCAGCTACTGGCACATGTGAATTGACCTAGTTACCGATACAACACACCCACATATTGAAGGGGAAAACAAAGTCTCTAGCAGGTGTGAAGATATTGGATTTTCCCCCTCTTTGCAATTTATGTGCCTTAGGAGGCTCCATATATTTTATTTTAACAAAATAAAATTTAACAAAATAAAATATCAGACAATAAATAGCATTTAGGCTCTGATCCAGCCAGCATTTATACATATGTTTAACTTTAAGCACTTGAGTTTTCAAAGTGCCGTGACTTCAATGGCATTATTCATATGCTTAAAGTTAAATATGTGCATAAGTGTTTGCTGCAGCAGACCCTTCCCAATTTCATTCTGGCACTGATCCTTATAGTCTGAATAATGGACCTAGGTCATAAGCACTGTAGATAACCAGAGGCACTAATCATTATGGGCTTGATCGTTTATACATTGAAGTCAATGGCAAAGAAGGATCAGACCCTAAGGTCCCAATTCTGCAAACAATGGTGCATGTGAGTACTCTCACTGACTTTAATGGGACAACTCATGTGCATAGAGTTAAGCACGTGCATAAGCCTTCGCAGGAGCTGATCTTAAAACTAGCATATTCTTTATGTTAATAATTAATCACTAGGCCATGGTCTCTTCAGTGTAAAATATCAGATCCAAATTAATAACAAAGTCCACAGTCTGTACTGCTCAATTTTCAGTGTTTTCAACAAGCTAGAAATAAATGCATCAGGCTTTTTTCAGCAAAGATGGTTTAAAATGCAATGCTCACTGGGCTACCTGGCTGGCTATAAATACCTTTCCCAGGAATGTCAAATGCTGGACAATCAGGTGGGCGCTTTCAGTCTTTCCAGCACCACTTTCTCCACTGATGATAATGCACTGATACACAAAACAAAGTTGTAAATGCATTGTTCACCATAAAGCTGATCAACTCAGATGTTCAACTGCTACTTTTACATTGTTTTGAATATATACCAAGACATCTTCAGAGTCAACTCTCTGTATATCAGTAAGAGTCACAAGTATGTTTGTTTCTTCACTCTTTTGATCGATAAAAGGTGCATCATCATAATCTCTGGGTGCTTATACATTTATGGAGAGAATAAGATCCATAGAGCCCAATGCTATGACACTATTTGAAACATGGACTCTTTTACTGGGAAAGTACCATTCTACCAAACGTACAGTCTCAGGGCTTGGCTACACTTGTGAGTTACAGCGCAATAAAGGCGCCCCGGGCACACTAGCTCACTACCCGTCCACACTGGCAAGGCACATAGAGCGCTCTGACTCCGCAGCTACAGCGCTGCTGGTACTGCACCTTGGCGAGTGGAATAACGTTTGCTGCGCCCCTGCTGGAGCACCGCAGCGCCAGTGTGAACGAGGTGTTGCTTTACTGCGCTCTGATCAGCCTCCGGAAACGTCCCATAATCCCCTTAAGTCAAGTGGCCACTCTTGTCATTGTTTGGAATTGGCTGGAGGAATGTGGAAATGCCCTTTGAAAGCTCCGTTACTGACAGCCAGCTACTTATCTGCTCTGAGACAAAGCAACCATTAGTGTGGAATGCTATGTGTGAGAGAGAGAGGCACGGAGGTGAGGGGGGTCTGCTGCTGTCTGAATTTACAAGATAGCATGCTGACATGCTCTCAGCCCCCCCAAAATCCACTCTCTCTCCCCCCACATAGACACAACACACTCCCTATCACACTCCACCCACTCCACCCCCCATTTGAAAAGCATGTTGCAGCCACTTGTATGCTGGGATAACTGCCCATAATGCACCACTCCCATGCCACTGCAAGTGCCGCAAATGTGGCCATGCCAGTGTGCTTCAAGCTGTCAGTGTGGACAGACTGCAGCGCTTTACCTACTGTGCTCTACGAAGGCTGGTTTAATTCAAAGCGCTCTTCATCTGCAAGTGTAGCCATGCCCTAAAAGCCTGATCTTCCACTTAAAAAAAAATCCTCAGTGTTTGGTACCATGTACAGGGAACACCCTACACACAGTGCTAATCCCTGAGCTGGCACAGCATCCTGGGCTTCTAAAGAAGTCGGACAAACAAATGTGTTTCTGTTTATGAGAGGAACCCAGAAGAGAAGATCTGCATTCCTCCCGTACCTGGTGTCAGAACTAACAGATCCGTAGCCACAGATTTTATTGATTGGATCAACCAACCCTGGGAGTCCTAGGCTCAAAGATTACTTGTACAGTAGTCTTTTGGAAACAGTAAACAGTAAATTAGCTATGCTGACAGTATACCAAGATGCCTATAAATAGTTAGCTACCTAAGCTCAAGGATATGGATCCACAAGGCAAAATTAGTTTGTAATCATATATAAGGCACTTGAAAAAATTAAGATTTACAAAATAAACCTGATGGGCTGATTTCAAAATGATGAACTTGCTTCTTAACTTCAACAAATCCCCTCATCCCATTTATTCTACACAGATACTAGTTTCTTAGCAAAACCCCTCAAGAGTTACATAACTAATAGCTACATCTAATGGACCCTTGGTACCTGCACTCCCCAAAACCCAATAAACTGTCAACCCTCTTTCTCCTTTTTCATGTGCAGGGTTCATCTATATTCATCTTTGTCTGGTGTATTCTGAATACGGTTTTATTGTATTATTTTATTGTGTTTTTAAACCTTCTTTAGAAGTATTTACTATGAACTAATGTGCAGTATGCATGTCACAAATAAAATCATTATTATTCCCCAATACCCATATCTATGCATAGTGCATCATGTGAAAAGGAATACAAGAATTACAATCTTGAAAATATTGTAAGAAGGAATCCAGTTTCTGTTCACTATATTTCCATTCTCATTAAAATCATTGCCATATAATTGGATTTGCGTCCTCATTACATTTATGTTAGAACTCTCATTATTATATTTTACCATGAAAATGAGTGATCCCATAGTTAATGGTTTGTATTTTCTGTGACTTGTAGTCACAGGGACTGATTCTCCATTGTCTTGCACCTGTGCGAGCTAAGTGCAAAATGCCACTGATATGGCAGCATTTTACACACATTTTGCACAGTTGTAAATGAGTGTACTGGATGCAAGATAGTACAGAATCAGGCCCATAGGGCAAAGATCGTCAGCTGGTGTTATCTGGAATCAATGGAGCTACGCTGATTTACACTGACTGAGTATTCAACCTTATAGTGTCTACTACTGTACCATGACCTTTTCAGTAGTCCTAAAACTGATTGGAATGCTGTTCCATTTTTTCTGCTATACATACATACTCTGGAACAGAAGGTTTCACAAAGATCAGTGACAGAATACTAAACGTAACCTAAGTAATACAGCATTCTATGACCAATGTTAAGTATAAAACGAGATGAACTCGTTCTTACCTGATCCTTGCTGAAAGTTACCATGCCCTGGTAAGCAGCATCGGCAGAGGCAAATATGTGGGGGGGATTTGATGACCGCTTCACACCATGGTAAAGCGTGGAAAACTAAATGAAAAAGAAATCTGTCAAAATAAAAATTTCACCCTGTGTAATCAGGGATGTCAGGAAGGATGGTCTGGTGATTAGGATGCTAGCCTGGGAAGACGGTTCAATTCCCTTATGTGCCGCCGACTTTCTCTGTGATCTTGAGCAAGTCACTTTGTCTGTCTGTGCCTCAGCTCCCTATTTGTAAAATGGGGATAATAGTACTGCTCCCCCATAGGGTGTTGTGTGGGTAAATATATTAAAGATTGTGAGGGCTCAGATACTTTGATGATGGGGAAGGGCACATAAGCTCGATAGAGATGTTCTCCACAGAGTAATGATTTAAAGAAATTTTGTAAGTTTTATTTTAAATATATTTTTGTGGTTTTCAGTGACCAAGACTCCTAACCATTTACAAGCCTTTTCTTTCTTGTGCATCTTCAATTTTACAATATACAGCAGGTATTGTCCTCATCTTGTTGTTCCTCTTACCTGTGGAGAATATATGCTGAGATTCTGGAAGGGGTTTAAGGCTATTAAAATGTCTCCAACATAAGTATAAATTTGTAGATCAGCATAACGCTTCTGAAGTTGATGGATAATTGTATCCTAGGATTATAAAACATTTGACAGTTAAGAAATATTTTTCCAGATAGCAAAATTCATTGTAAATATATTGAGAACACTGAGTAATAACTGATTATCTTAAATGTTATTTGTCATTTATGTCAACCACTGACCTCACAAAACCAAACCAATATTTTCAAAACATCATGCATCTCTCTTTACAGTATTGCAACAAAACCAAATTAAAAACAATAACCCTATTTTTTTATTAGTTTATGCTGTTATGCCTGTCAGAGAAGCAAACACTTTAATGCAGTAAATGGCCATAGAGGTTATCGGATTTGGGGGGGTTTCATTGCCAAACTTGCATGTAAACTGTCACTTAATTTTAGTAATTTGACTCTTCATGCTCATGAGTTCATCATAGAACAAAAAGGAACATAAAACAAGATCACAATTTTTCAGGTATTACTCCATAAAATTGTTTTATATGGGAACCCAGCACATTTTTATATTATATGTTGTTCCTGTTGGAATACAAGTTAAGGTTCCCCCAAGCTAAAATTAACAGGTTCTCTGCACACATGTGGTGTATTAAAACTTGAAGATTATACGTATGAGTTTATCACTCTTTTCATAATAGAGTCTTTATTATCTGTAGCTGGGACATTCTTTTAAATACATTATTGGTTTTGAAGAAAAATAATTCTAATCCTGGTTTTTGAGGCTAAGCTTCAATTTTCTTGCAAATAGAAAATAATTTAAACTAGCATCATCCATCATTCAGTTCTTCTGTGCTTTAGGTTTTACTGAAACTGCTTTTATATCACTGAGTAGAATATAAATGAACTTGTGATAGCAGATCAGAATCACGTGTGGAACAGTTATTCTTTTATGCCAAGACTATGAACAATTAATTTTGTGACATGATGACACTGTTAGAATAAAACCTATAAAGCAGAAGCAAGCAATACATGTGATGTAATGGTCAGGGCTGAGAAACTGATGCCTGAATGGTACAGTACCTCATCTAGAACCTCTAGATTTACTAGATCATCATCTAGAGCGTATTTGTTAGCCGCATCCACATGATAAGGTCTTCTAGTATGTATTCGTTCATACCTGCAGGTGTGTTAACAGAGTATCAGTGTGAAAACACGATTCTAAAAAATTCATCCAGTGAGAGGCAATAATAATTAACTTAGGGGGTGATCTTTTCAAACAGAAAACAGGCACACTCTCTAAACTACTTACCATGGAGCATTTTGAGGGAATATTTTTAAATAAATGCATCAGCTAAAAGCCCAACATAGCTCCCATATTTTTTCCTTCACAATATTTACCCCTTATCTTTTTAGCAGTGCTCTCAGATGAAGGATTATCTGTGGGCAGGCTGTCTCTGAATATTATATGTTCCAGAGTAGCAGTCGTGTTAGTCTGTATTCAGAAAAGAAAATGAGTACTTGTGGCACCTTAGAGACTAACAAAATTATTTGAGCATAAGCTTTCGTGAGCTACAGCTCACTTCGTCGGAATGCATCTGATGAAGTGAGCTGTAGCTCATGAAAGCTTATGCTCTAATAAATTGGTTAGTCTCTAAGGTGCCACAAGTCCTCCTTTTCTTTTCTGAATATTATAGAAACCTATCGAAATACCCTCCCCTTCTTTCCCACCTCCTCATCACAAGATATTAGTCCCACGTAAACATGAATATATTACCAGTTCATCTAATTGAATATTTTTTCTAGGAACTTTAGTTATTCCAACTACTGGGGCTACAACAAACAACAAAGAGTACAATGTCCTTCCCGTTACCTTGGCGTTTGCCAGAGCGTCTCCTCAGATGACCCTGCGCCTGGTCCAGAACAACATTTTTGAACCACAACTGCCATCAGACTTTAAATTCTATGGATGTTCAGTCAGCTTCTCCTCAGAGATTTAATGATAGTCTTTAAGCCACCCAATTAGAAGCAGAGACAAACTGTCCCATATCCCCTTTATAATCTGATTACACTGAAGGAATCTTTGAAAAAGCTGGTGTATTTTTTTAAACAACATATCACATTTTATAAAGAAATGGGAACAAATTAAGAGAGTATGAAATGTCTTCCACAGAGGAGGTGATAGATGAACACCATGTAAGCACGACCATGTTTTTTCTCTACAACAAATATAATCAAAGCATAGCAGGAGGACACCCACTGAGATACAGCAGCATCCTGCTGCGTAACACTAAGCATTGATCCTCAATGACAGCTCCTGACAGAATGCTGCTGCATCAGTTGCCATGTATAAAGTAGGAATCACATGAGAACACATTCCTAACCAATGATAATAGTACATCTGGTAGGTAGGACAATACTAGCATGCTTCTGTCGACACGTGTATATAATATGGAAGGTTGATGTGCAAAGAAAAAGATACCAGGTCTTTTCCCCTCCCCCCGTCTACAATTACTGACTTTTGAAAATCATGTTTCAAAGAGCAGCATAAGTGCTCTTGCTCTATCCCCGCCCCCAACACACATGCAGTTCCAAACTTAAGTTTTCCGATACAACAAGCAAACTTACGGTCAGGTGCATAAGAATTATTGATCGGAATTAGCCTTTTAGCAAAGAGGGAGGAGGTAGAGACATTTAACTACAGTGGCACCCTGACAAATGCAGATTACATTTAAGGATCTTGTTTCTTGGTTTTTTTTTTTACTCATTTTCATTGTTAGTTTTGGCTACTTAGTACACTGTAACATCCTAGAAAAATCATTTCTATAGATTTATTTGAACTCTGATTGTGTAAAATAGAGTCAGGATACAATTGTTTCACCAGCAATGAAAAAACCCCACCAAAATACTCATACAAATTTTTTGAGACAGTCTTATTTATATTTTGCATCCTATGTTCCCACACAATCTGGTGGTTTACTATGCTGCTATGCATAACCAAGAAGTGACACAAGGAGAAAATGAACAGGAAGTGATGAATTAATAATTACCGTAATGGGAGTCATTTCCTGTGGACAGCATGGATAGGATGTGTATTAGCTGAAACTCCCATCAAAGGGAACTTGTCATTTTCTGTTTTTTCCTGTGTTTATTTTTTTAAAAGGTGATATTTAGAGATTTACATTCATAATGATGGGCCAGATCCTCAGCTGGTGTAAATCAAAGGAGCTGATCTGGCCCATCGTTGTTTTGTTGATTGTTTTTGGTTTAAGCTTAAATCCAGAGTCTCTAATTAAATTGCAGAGAAGGATGTCATCGTGAGTAATCAGGTCCATCCAAACATAGGAACATTCATTAATCCAGAAGTAGAACAACTATTTTAACATTAGTTCCTTTATCGGCCTTGAGACGCACCAGGCAAAGTTGTTGTCAGAAAGGATGATGGAAGAAAACATCCATATTCAGACATTATTGAAGTGAAAGATTGCAGGAGCAATGTCAAATCACAGCAAATTTGCAAGTACTTTGGATGTGCCTATGTTTATACCATAGGTGCACGGAGGAAGTTACAATCATACCTACACATCTCCAATTGCAGAGTGGCTTTGTAAACTAATCTCTTATCTGATTATAAAATTCCAACTGTTTCTTTTCCCTATGCGATAAACAAGTCAGTTTTATTACTGGAAATTTTCTTTTTACCCTGTACAAACAAATGAGTAAAGAAACTATTCTTAATCAAACATAAGGAAAACAAAGACCACTGTGAATATATATTTTCTTGTGCTTAACTCATTTTCTCAAGTACCTGATTAGGAGGAGAACATTAGGAGCATAGCATCACATTAGCTTCAGATCTCATGCTTGCCTCATCAGTTTTCTATTGACCCTATGGCCTGCAGATATGTTGACAGAGAGAAGGTTGAAGGAACGCAAATAGTAATATTTAATGGTTCTACCAATGTCAGCCCTCTACAGTTCATATTTTACCTAAAAAGTATATTACCAAAAAGCAGAGAAAATCAATTTTTAATTGGGGAATAGCCATATTTTTATGAACAAGATAAAATCAGTGACAACTATTCTTGGTTTTGTGATATATATGTATGTATGTGTGTGTGTGCGCACCTGCACCTATGTATGAAAATAAACAAAAGAACACTGACATAGGGTATTGGTGGCAGCAGCATAGAGGAGGATTATTTGGTCATTTGGGGAAGAAAATGTAAAGGGATCACGTGGCCCAAAGAAGAAGACATCCTCACTGACAGCTCCAAACTCAGAAGAAAGGCAGAGTGGACCAAAGATTTTCATCTATGTAGTGTCTGGAAGTACCAACACCCTCTCAAATTCCATCAGAGCCTCTTTCTTGGCCTAAATACTCTTGGTGCAATGAAACTTATCACAGTTTTTAGTTTATTCATATTTTATCTAGGACCAACATAGGAACAAATAGTTTGTGCATAGAAGAGGTGGAGGAAAAACAAAGAGTCTAAACTCCTAGCTCACCCTTTCTTACATTATTGTAATCTGAAAGCAAACGATTGCTCCTGGACTAAGACTTTGCAAGGAAAATATTGAACACAATGGGAAGAATTAACTGTGAACCTCTCACTGACCTTAATGACAGTCATAATGGAAACACTGACACAACCTTAAATGTTAACATCACAAATTTTGGCCTGGCTATAATAAAAATCTGTGTGAGCTCCAGCATAAGTATATACCGTGTGATCAGGCTGGGAATCAGTAGTTTCCTTGCCCATAATAGTTTTCAGGTTTTTGTCTTTTAACTCCTTCCCTTGATATTTATACAGCTGATGTCTGGAAGAGTTGCATTAAATCCTGCACAACATTTTACAATCTGAGCACTACTTTTGGTTTTGCTTGCCATTATACGTCTTAGCTCATGCAAAGAGGAAATTTCAAGCTTTATAAATTCTTTATAGTTAATTGATTTCAAAACTGAATGCAAGCTGCCAAAGTAGCTGGCTATCTGTTTGTAAGATCTTCCCCTCCTCTGATAGGGTCCTGCACTAATCAAACTGGCTAATGACAATGCAGGGGGCTGCCAGGCCAGTGCAGTTCTGGTCCTGATATTTGACCTGCCGGCACTTCTGAACCTGCTCTCTTTCTGCATTCTTTTAATGTTAGCTAGGAGGCTTTTAGACTTGCCTCCTTCCCTAGTGACAAATTTACAATCTCTCATTAAGGGCACGAGGATTCAACACCAGGTTCCACCAGCTTCTACCACAGATAGAGCCCACAAAGAAGGGACCCCAGTAATGGAAAGCCTGCTAGGGTAGGCAGCAGTGTCACCAAGCACCTGCAACTTCCCTTCCTTTGGGGAGTTCACAGCTGACCAGTGGATCCTCCAAAATGGGCAGCAATGGGCAAGGAGAGGATGCGGAGAGGATGGCTGTGGGATGGGACAGATTCAGCATATTTCTTGGGCAATCTTCTTCAGTAGGTCTCCTATGGCAGGTAGCCAACTGCAGCTTAAAACTGCCCTCCACCTGGAGAGAGTATGGGGGCAGTGTAGTGGTGTGGCTGGAGCAGTGCCCCTTTGTGGACCTTCCAGGTGCCCTGGGGGAAGAAGTCTCTATTTCCGGTGTCCACTGAGGCAGACTGTGACCCATTGGCTCATTGTTGCCTCTTCAGTCTTACCCCTTCCTGGGTAGGTTAAACCTCAAAATGTTCTACAACAAAAAGCAAGCCTACCTCAATGCTGGGCCATCCCCCAGTCTTCCAGGACAGCGTTCCTGTCCTTTAATTCGGGCTTTCTTCCCAAATAGTCTCTGATTCAAGCATTGCTCATTCCTTGGGGTATGATGTTCCTGCCCAGTGACTGCTCCAGCAATCAGGCCCATCTCTCTGCAACTCTGCAAGCGAAGCTCCCTTCAGGCGGAGAGGCGGAACTCTGTCCTCCTTCCTGACCAGTCAACTGAGTCAGGCTCTCCTTTTATTGCCCCTCCAGGCTTTGAATTGGCTGCAGGTATAGCAGGCAGGGCTAGCTGAGCCCACAGGTTCTTCTTCATCCTTTCTCTGCTGGTGCAGGGCCCCATCTCAGGGGAGTATAATTTGTAACTTTCTGTGCCAGCATAGATGGGGGGAATTAAATCTCACAAAGGGTTAATTTTTCTGCTAATGGTTCTCTCTCTCTCAGAAATGCACATGGCA